AAAAGTTCTTATGGATATTTATGAGGAAGTTCAAAAGTTTCAAACTGATCAGCAGTAATGAATCAAAAATAAAAAGAATTCAGTGCAGTTATTTTCAACAGTGAAAAATATGTCAACCAGTAATTTCTACCCCCTCCCCATCCTGATTCTGGAAAGAGAAAACTCCAAAACATATGGCCCAGGAAAAAAATCTGTCCTCGTTTATAGTGATGAACTGGCTTTTACATCTCTGCAGCCAGAGTACGCAAATGACTTCACAGGCAACAGCTTCCGTATGTTTTATATTTTTAACATTGACCGTTCATAACAAAGGTTCTTTGATCCCAGATCAAATGTTTGAATCAATTTTCTCTACACTTACTCAGAGTCACCATTATAAAAGCTCTCCTCTTTCCCACCTCCAACCCTTCCTGCAATAGGAACTATCTCCATTTGTCACCTTCTCTGTGATACTTCCCACCACTTTGCTGTGGTTTTTAGCTGTGCTCGTTAACCACTCATATGAAAGAGGCACAGTAATAAATAATTTTTGTACATAATAAGTTAACTGCAATAAATAAGACTCCTCTAAGGAATTCACAACCATCCTTAATAAAGCTAAAAGCTCACCAGTAGTATGGTTAGTACAAAAAAAAAAAAAAAATCTTTCCCAACCAGAAAAAGAAATCAACAGGTAAGGCCTTTCCCTACATGTAAGAAAAATTAAAATTTACATATATATATATATATTTTAAAACTAGATTATTGCCTGGGATTAGAACTCTAAAAAATGAACTGAAAACTAAAGCCTTAAATAAAAACAAAAAAACCAGAGATTGGATAAATAGTAAAAACATCAAATAAAAACATTATCTAAGCAATGCCCAAAATTGAGAATATTTTCAACTTTACTGATTCCAAGACCTTTATGTACATCTATGCAAGAGCAACATTTTTAACATGACAATAGCTAAAAAGTTAAAACATCAATTTTGTAGAAAGGTACTTACTAAACAAAGGCTACTTTGAAGAAAAAATTTTCTAGTGGTAAATACCTTGATAGTAGATCAATTATATTCGGGGCTAATTAGATCTTTTGGGGATTAAAACAGAAAAAAAGAGAAAAAAATCCTAGTATTAAAAAGTTCTTTTTCCTTCCATATCCTAGCTATCATAAATAATGCTGCAATGAACACAGGAGTGCATGTATCTTTTCAAGTTAGTGTCGTCATTTTCTTCAGATATACACCTATAAGTGAAATTGCTGGATGATGTGGTAGTTCTATTTTTAAATATTTTCCATAGGGGCGACACCAATTTACAATCCCATCCACAGTGCACAAGGATTCCCTTTTCTCCACATCCTCACCAACATTTGTTTTTTCTTGTTTTTTTGTTTTTTTTTTTAATAATAGCCATTCTGGACAAGTGTGAGGTAAGATCCCATGGTTTTAATTGGCATTTCCCTGATGAGTTGACACTGAGAATCTTTTTATTTTAACTTACCACTACTGGTTTATTACAAAGGCCAAATGGAAGAGATGCACAGAGGTAGNTTTTTTTTTTTAATAATAGCCATTCTGGACAAGTGTGAGGTAAGATCCCATGGTTTTAATTGGCATTTCCCTGATGAGTTGACACTGAGAATCTTTTTATTTTAACTTACCACTACTGGTTTATTACAAAGGCCAAATGGAAGAGATGCACAGAGGTAGGAGAGTGCAGAGCTTCCATGCTCCACCACCCTCCCACCACCTTGATGTCTTCACCAGAAGCTGTCTGAATCTTACAGTTCAAGGGTTACACAGAGCTCAGTCTCCAGTCCTCTCCCCTCTTACTGGAGGTTGGTAGTTGGGGCTGAAGGTTCCAACCCTCTGATCAGTTGGTCTATCTGGTGACCAACCCATCCTGAGGCTATCTAGGGGCCCCATCCTAAGTTACTTCAGCACAATGTGAGGTTACCTCAGATGTAATTTGAAAGGGGCTTACTATGAAAAACAAGGGACACTTTGAAAACTCGGGAATTTTTTAGGAATTCTGTGTAAGGAATTGGGGACAACAGCTAAACATATTTTTGTATTTTACCACTTCATAGAAGTAGGAAGAAAAAAGAAAAGCCCACTTTTATCCTGGCATACATGCAAGCATGCTCAGTTGTGTTCAACTCATTGCGGCCCCATGGACTGTAGCCCATCAGGCTGCTCTGTCCATGGAATTTTCCAGGCAAGAATACTAGAGTCGTTGCCATTTCCTACTCCAGAGGATCTTTCCAACCCAGGGATCAAACCCTGTCTCCTGCACTGGCAGGTGGATCCTTTACCACTAAGCCATATAGTCTGTATAGCACTACGGAATACTTCCAGGCTTTTTTGTGAATTTTGAGTACTATGTTTATATTAGTATTGCAAACATTTTATGTTAATATTTATATTGAAAAATCTTATCACTATTGCATTATGAGTATCACTCAGATCTCATCTTAAGGTTATTTCTTCAAAAGAGACTTTCCCCTGACAATCCAGTCACTATTTTAACACAGTAGTCTATTTTAATTCTCTGCATGACATGTAACCATGGATCATTTTGGAGTTTTATTTATTGTCTCTCTCCCACTGAGCATCTTTACATGTACCTATTAGCCATCTCTATGTCTTCTTTGGAAAATGGTCTATTGAGAACTTCTGCCCATTTTTTAATTGGATTGTGTGATATTTTTTCCTATTGAGTTATATAAATTCTTACCTATTTTGGATATTAGCCTCTTATCAGATATACGATTTACAAATATTTTCTCCCATTCAGTAGATTGCATTTTCATTTCATTAATGATTTCCCTTGCTGTTCAGACTCTCTTTATGTTGATAGACTTCCACTTGTTTATTGTTGCTTTTGTTGCCTTTGCTTGGTTTCACTGATCTTTTCTATTGTCTTCTTACTCTATTTCTACTCTGCTTTTGTTCTTCCCTTCCTTTGACAAATTTTGAGCTTTGCTTATTCTTTTTCTAATTCCTTGAGTTGTAAATATAGGTTGGTTCTTCAAGTATTTTCTTTTTTCTTGAGGTAGTCATTTATCACTATGAACTTCCTCTTAGAATTGCTTTTGCTGCACTCTATAAGTTTTGGTATGTTGTATTTCCATTTTCATTTGTCTCAAGGTATTTTTTATAATTTGGGGTATTTATTTTGGGCTTCCTAGGCGGCATTAGTGGTAAAGAACCTGCCTGCCAATGCAGGAGATGCAAGAGACATGCATTCAATCCCTGGGTCAGGAAGATCCCCTGCAGGAGGAAATGGCAACCCACTCCAGTATTCTTGGAGAATCCCATGAACAAAGGAGCCTGTCAGGCTACAGTCCATAGGATCACAAAGAGTTGGGACACAACTGAAGTGTCTTGGCATGTATTTATTTTTGGCTGTGCTGGGTCTTTGTTGCTGCATGAGCTTTTATCTAGTTGTGGGGAGTGGGGGCTACTCTCCAGTTGCAGAGTGCAGGCTTCTCATCGCAGGGGCTTCTCTTGCTGCAGAGCATGGCTCTAGGGCATGCAGGCTTCAGTAGCTGCTGCACATGAGCTCAGCAGTTGTGGCTCCCGGGCTCTAAAGCACAGGCTCAATAGTTACACACACAGGCTTAGTTGCTCCACAGCATGTGGGATCTTCCTGGATCAGGGATTGAACTGTGTCTCCTGCATTGCAGATTCTTTACCACTGAGCCACCAAGGAAGCCCTCAAGGTATTTGTTTTTCTTTTTTTATTTCTTCATTGATACCAGTCATTTTTATAGTAGCATGTTGTTTAATCTCCACATATCTGTGATTTTCCAGGTGTCTTCTTGTAATTGGTTTCTAGTTTCATAATATTGTGGTCAGAAGAGATACCTAATATGATTTCAATATTTTTAAATGTATTAAGACTTGTTTTGTAACCTAACACATGATTTGTTCTGGAGTATGTTCCATGGGCAATTGAGAAAAAATGTGTATTCTATTGCTTTTGGATAGACTGTTCTCTATAAATCTGTTTAGTCATCTGGTCTAATTTTAGGCCAGTGTTTCCTTATTGATTATCTGTCTGGATGATCTGTCCATTGAGGTAAGCAGAGTAGTAAAGTCCCCTACTACTACTGTATTGCTGTCTGGTTCTCCCTGTAGGTCTGTAAATATTTGCTTTATATATTTAGGTGTTCCCATGTTGGCCTGGAGAATTCCATGGACTGTATAGTCCATGGGGTTGCAAAGAGTTGGACACAACTGAGAGACTCTCACTTTCACTTTTTCATGTTGGGTGCATAAGTATACAAATATTACATTCTCTTGTTGAATTGATCCTTTTATCAGTACGCAATGCCCTTCTTTGTCTCTTATCACAGTTTTTGTTTTAAAGTCTCTTTTGTTGGATGTAAGTATTGCTACCACAGCTTTGTTCTGGCTTCTATTTACATTAAATTTTTTTTTTACATCTCTCCACTTTCAGTCTGTGTGTGTCCTTATACCTGAAGTGAGACTCTTGCAGGCCTTGTGTTTTTAGTCAACTTATTTAGTCCATGTCTTTTGATGGTAAACTTAGTCCATTTACATTTAAAGTAATTATTGATAGGTATGTACTGATTGCCATTTTGTTAATTGTTTTCCGGTTGTTTCCTAGTTCTTCTGTTCTTTTCTTCTTCTCAGAAAAAAAAAATCCTGGTGTTAAAAAACCCTTTTCAATGACTTTTTTTCCCTTTTTGTTTGGACTGGTAGACAGGTTAGGTTTTAACATAATTTAAACTACTATGATTCGTCACTTAAAAAGTCATATACTTCAATTTTACGAAAAAAAAAAAAAAAAGTGTTAAGTTGGACTCTGTCCATAACATTGTAAGCATAAAAAGGGCACGCTTTAAGGTGCTAACACAGGGAGTCTTGAGTTTAACATAGATTTAGCAACACTCCTCCAGGCAAAATTGAATTTTCCTGGCTTTGTGCAAAATGAATTGTTGTATATATTATCTACCCATTCCAAATAGTCCAAATATTACAGATTACCTTGCACACAGCTGCAAACTGTTGGTTATTTCCTGCTCCAACTACAAGATATCCATCCTTGGTTTTGAAAGCCTAAAATAAATAAATACATACATAAATATATAATTTTATATAGCTTTAATTACTCAAATTTATATATAAACCTTGTTCTAAAGTAGCAATATTAATTAAATCAATATCAACTAATTAGTATATTTTTCTATTATATTTGTATAGCTGTTATTTGAGGTTCTCAAAGCACTTCCTGTCTCATCAACCAAGTGTTATAACATTGGAGGAGGGAGGAAAAATGAGTAACTTAGAATAGTAAAGAAAATACTGGAGGTTTATTATAATTAATAATACTAAATTCTATATTCATTATAGTTTGGATTAATGTTAGATATTCCCAGCTTTGTGTTTTATTTCCAATTTTTCATGTAGGGCAAAGAGAATGACATAGCACCCTGTTTTCTACAAAGTCTAAGAAGAATAGAAGGGAAAAAGGAAGGAAATGAGGGAAAGGAGAAGAAAAGAAAGGAGAGTGGAGTGTAAGGAAGATGAGTAATGGAGCTGTAGTTTGTCTTCAAAAATCTCAGATACAAACTTCTGGGTAATTTTCACTTTCTAGTAAGTGAAAAACGACACATCTAGATCACTAGACCCCATGTGGCTTTATGTACCTGAGAAAGTCTCTTCCTTTTAAGAGGCATGTTCATTTGGGAAGCCAGATATATGTAAATAATTGATACTTCTCATAGTCCAAGCCCCTCTGAAGTACTTATCAGAACTCAGTTCTACACACTGGATCACAGTGATGGTCAGGGGAACCAAACTTTACCCTTAGAAGGCCTTATTCCCATTTTCTTTGAGTAAATGAGTTTCTTTAGTTTCCTCTCTCTCTATGTAAAAATTGTTCTGCACCTTCACCTACTTTTTCCTCACTTACACCCACCTCTGAGAAAGATAACATCTGTCTTTCCTGTCAGGGATTATTCCTAGGCTAATGACCTAATGAGTGCTACCTGTACTCACTCACATCCTTCAGAACCCTGCTCAATCATCTTTTATGTCTTCATTTCCACTGGACCTTTTTCTTATGCCTACATAGAAGCTCATGCTAATACTTAAAATATTAGAAACAAAATAAAATTTGTACCAGTCCTGACATACCTGTCAAGCTTTCTTAAAATCGTTCCCTTCCTCCATCTCTAAATAATATAAAAATGCTACTTCTTCACCAACCACCACATTGCAATGGCCTTTGTCATCAGGATTCCTATCCTATCACTGAAACAATTCTTTTTTTTTTTTTCCATTTATTTTCATTAGTTGGAGGCTAATTACTTTACAACATTGCAGTGGTTTTTGTCATACATTGAAATGAATTAGCCATGGATTTACATGTATTGAAACAATTCTTTCTTATACCTCTGTATTAGTTGGTACCATCCCCTGCTTCAGGAAACTCTTGTCTCTAGACTCTGTCTGCATTCATCTCTAATCTCTCTGATGTTTTTCATATGCCCCCTTTACAAGATTACCTTCTAAACCTCAGCGTTACTTAAGCATCATCATTACTTAAGTATCTGTATTACTTGTTTCTTACAGTGGCCACTAGCCACATGTAAGTATTAAATTTAAATAAACTAAAATTAAATCAGCCAGTCACAAAAGAATACAAATTGTGATTCCACTTATAGGAAATGACCAAAATCAGCAAATCCATGGAGACTAGAAAGATTAGTGGCTGTCTGGGGCTGAAGAAGTTTGAGAAATATGGAAAGTGACTATACAAGTACCAGCTTTCTTATTGGGGCAATGAAAATATTCTAAAATTGATTATGGTAAAGGCTCTACAACTCTATGAATGTACTAAAAACCACTAAATTGTACAGTTTCAGTGGTGAATTATACTGTATGTATATTATGTATCAATAAAGCTGTTTTTAAGAAGAATTAATAGTTCACTTCTACCAGCATTCTAGCTACACGTCAAGCATTCAATAGCCACATGTGGCTAGTGGCTACTATGGGAGACAGTCCAGATAGAGAACATTTCTATCATCACAGAAAGTTCTGTTGCACAGTATAAGTAGATTGGAGTTGGCAGACTGTATTTTTTTTTCTTTTATTCTTCCTACTTCATGGTATCTGAAGAATATGAAGCAATTAATAAAAGGTTATAAAATGTTAATAAATCACTCAAATGATTGCTTCCATATAATAGGGTTGTGGCTAAAAGGAACCTCAGAACACTATAATCGAGTTTTTTTCCTGTTTACATTTTTGCTTGATTTGTAAATCAATGCCATCAAGATATTACATGAACTATTTTAAATGTTTATATTCCCTTATCCACCAAGCAAAAGCAAAATTAGTGCCATACCTAATGCATTAGTGTTTCTTAAACTACAGAAAGGAAGTCTGCAATAGAGCTATGAGAGGGGGACAAGGATTTTGAGCAGAGATGTCTTAACAAACCATTCATAATTATGAAGTTATACAGTTTGTTTGCTTGCTTGCTTTTATTATGAGGGAAAAGTGAGTTGGGAAGTAGATAAGTAATATGAAGTAACAATGTGTGTTAACAAGTATAATGGGAAGTAAGGTTTTCAAAATTTTGGATCAGTGACATGTTCAAGTTTATATATTGGAGAGGGTTCATTTTCTTTCAATTAATAAATGACTGTTTCTTCCTTAATTCTGAACCATAACATGAAACATATTTTTACCAATACATATATTTTAAATTTTAAGCAGTGATAACTAGTTAATAATCACTGGAAAGTAAATACCAAGTACCAGCTCAGCTGTGCATGTGTGCTTGCCTGCTAAATCTCTTCAGTCATGTCCCACTCTTCGCAGCACCATGGACTGCAGCCCACCAGGCTCCTCTGCCCATGGGATTCTCCAGACAAGAATACTGGAGTAGGTGGCTGTGCCCTCCTCCAGGGAACCCTCCAGGGGATCTTCCCAACCCAGGGGTCAAACCCACGTTTCATGTCTCCCTCATTGGCAGGTGGGTTCTTGAGCACTAACACTACCTGGGAAGCCCTAGCAGCTTAGCCACCAGGATATAATTAGACTAAGGCTCAGCAAGTAGATTTATTAGGATGAAGAGTGGGAAATGAGTACATCAAGGCTGTACATTGCGAACCTGCTTATTTAACTTCGAACATCATGTGAAATCCCAGGCTGGATAAATCACAAGCTGGAATCAAGACTGCCAGGAGAAGCGTCAACAACCTCAGATATGCAGATGATACCACTCTAAAGACGAAAAGAGAAAAGGAACCAAAGAGCCTTTTGATGAGGATGAAAGAAGAGAGTAAAAAAGCTGGCTTATAACTCAACATTCAAAATCCTAAGATCATGGCATCCGGTCCATCACTTCATGGCAAATAGATGGGGTAAAGTGGAAACAGTTAAAAATTTCACTTTCTTGGGCTCCAAAACCACTGCATATGGTGACCGCAGTCATGAAATTTAAAAAATGCTTGCTCCTTAGAAGAAAAATTATGAAAAAAGTAGACAACTTAATAAAAAGCAGAGACATCAGTTTGCCTACAAAGGTCCATATAGTCAAAAGCATAGCTTTGACCATACAGATGTGAGAGTTGGACCATAAAGAAGGCTGAACACTGAAGAATTGTTGCTTTCAAACTGTGGTGCTGGTGAAGACTCTTGAGAGTCGTTTGGACAGCAAGGAGATCAACCAGTCAGTCCTAAAGGAAATCAGTCCTGAATATTCATCGGAAGGACTGATGCTGAAGCTAAGGCTCCAAAACTTTGGCTACCTGATGCAAAGAGTTGACTCATTGGAAAAGATCCTGATGCTGGGAAGATTGAAGTTAGGAGAAGAAGGGGGCAACAGAGGATGAGATGGTTGAGTTGGCATCACCAACTCAATGGACATGAGTTTGAGCAAACTCTGGGGGATAATAAAGGACAGGGAAGCCTGGCATGCTGCAGTCCATGGGGTTGCAAATAAGTCAGACATGACTTAGTGACTGAACAACAACAGCAAGAAGATTATTAGTTCTTTAAATAATTATTTGTCCCATGTTATTATTTCTACAGTATTTAATAAATATATTTTAACTAAGAACTTTTAGAGGAATATATTTTGCTGTAAAATGAATGTTTTCTGGAGAAGGAAATGGCAACCCACTCCAGTATCCTCCTCAAATTCAGTTGTTGAAATCCTAACCCCCCAGTGTGATGGTGTTAGTAATAAGAACACAGCCATTTCTGAAACAGGAAGTAGGCCCTCACAAGACATCTAATATGACAGCATCTTGATCTTGGATTTCCTAGCCTTGAGAATTGTAATAAAGAAATGCCTGATGATTCAGCCACCTAGTCTATTCTGTTACAGTATCCCAAATGGACTAAGAAATTGGCACTGAGAAGAGGGATACTGCTGTAACAAATACCTAAAAATGGTGAAGATGGGAGGAAGTTATGAATAGGGCATATGAGAGGTGTCAGTGGATAAGAAATCCTGATTAAGTTGAAGACTGGCCATAATGTGGTGAGTAGTTGAATGCAAGGTGGAAGACAGGACACTATGGATGGTCAAAATATAAAATGCTTTAGTTAGTGATTACTGGAGAAAAGAAGTTTCAGTGTGAGGTTAGAGTCACAGTGTGAGGGGCATAGAATAATTTCTGATAAAAGGTAAGGACTTAATAAATATCATTATTATTAAATATCTACTAATAATGCTGGTTGGCACATAAAAAGAACCCCCTGTATATTCTAAGCCTTTGGATCTTGATTTCTGGACTCTTACCTACTCTGCAAACTCTCTTTCATCCCCTTGGTTGCCTCACTCTCTATACCAGGCAAGATAAATGACCACATACTATGTACACACACCTCTAGCAGATTTTCCATCACAGGGTGAACTAAATAAGAGCAGCAGACTGTGCTGCAAACATTCATGGCTGGGATGTTTCTCTTGTAAAGAATTGAAGCCTCAAACTACCGTACTGATGTGTCAGTATTTTCTCTGATCTAAAAAAGGTACATACAGTTAGTGGTGTGTCTACTTCAAAAACAAGAACACAAACTTCAAACCCTCCTGG